ACCACACACACTCCAATAGTTTGGCCCATATTTGATATTTTGATTGAGTGATTTTTTTTGAAAATCCAAGTATGAAACTTTGTAGTGCCACTAGAATACAAGAAAAAAGTCAGCATTCTTACACGGTGGTATAGATGTCCCAGTCTACTATACATACTTTTCCCATCATTGACAGATTGTTGTTGGCATAGCATGGCAGAGAAATATGCTGTATTGCACATATGGTGGTCCTGTTCTTTGATCTCACTCTTCTAGACTCAGATTTTCACAATTTACAAAGAAGCGATGAGCCTTTCCATTGTGAGGACACAGGAATTTGCCTTCTCTCCTAATTCAAGGGATCAATATCAAAGACCAAGAAGGGCCTCCTTCATTTTGCCTTAAAGTGGAATTCCGGGATAGCCCTAACTACTTTTAAAACTGTCCCCTCCCCCTCCGAAAACCTATTCTTATTAACCTGTGTAAGAAAAATATATATTCTTACCTTTTTTCATGCCAGTTATACGTTGGTGCAGATGAGAATAGTCCTAGTAACACTCAGGCTGCTGATATACAGCAGTGATGGTGCACACTGAGGTCTCCCTAATGGCAAGAGAAAGTTAAGTCCTTTAAAGCCCAGGAAATTGCAGCTCTTTTCCCTCCTCTCAGCAATCAATGTAGCTCAAAAGCTTTTGATCACCAAAGCATAGTCTCTCTTCTGGACTACAGTTCCCACAGTGCATTGCTGCCTGGTTCAGTCTATAGAACTCCTTCTGCTCAACAACTTCCTCCTCCTGCTAGCATGTTAACCAGTTCAGCACCGCAGGGCAGCAGCTACAGAGAGCAGCTGCAGCCAGCATTTCTCTCACTCTCCAATCTTAGCCAAGCACCTTGCTGCACAAGGTATACCTGTCAGTAGATTTACTGCATGAATACATTCCTGACGTGCCAAAATACACAGCAATAGAATCATGTTCTAAAGGCCAGAGAGCAGCTGCAGTCAGAATTTCTCCCACTCTCCCATCATAGTCAAGCACCTGGCTACACAAGGTATACCTGTCAGCAGCTTTACTGCATGAATGCATTCCTGACGTGCCAAAACACTCAGCAATAGAATCATGTTCTAAAAGCCAGAGAGCAGCTGCAGCCAGCATTTCTCTCACTTTCCCATCATAGCCAAGCACCTGGCTACACAAGGTATACCTGTCAGCAGCTTTACTGCATGAATGCATTCCTGACGTGCCAAAATACACAGCAAAATAATTATGTTCTAAAAGCCATACCTTTTATAATTAAAAATCAGTTCTTGAGTCGAGTGATTTTGCCAAGGTTGTTATGATGTCATCAGTCTGCTACAGGCAGGAGCAATTTCCTGTTCTCAAATAATCAGACTGCAACATTGTAACTTTGTAACAAGTTACAAGGTAAAGGGCTTCATTTGGGGCTGATCTATGTCAGGTATTTGTGAACTTAGCCAAGAACTTTATAGGCCCCAGGATTTATATGTTCTCATCTATCTCTGACATGGTATCTTAGTCCAGGAAGTAAATGGTGGATGATGCCTGAACAAAGATGGTGCAGTCCTTCTGAAGAGAGAAGCAGATGTCATGTGAGTACTGTCATTGCTGTGAGGGGTAATATATACCTAGAAGTGTTATACTTAGTATGTGTTTTTCCCCACCCATATGTATTTTGTCTAACTGATGTATTGAACTGTATGAGGTTACTATTGTTCTGATGGATGCTGATATCTAATGGTTGTTCAGACCACTGTAAGTTACTTACTTATGTGATTTGATATCTCCTTCTACTCACCTCTGGTTGAGTGCTAATGTGTGTCAGGGCTCCCAGGTGTGACCAGAGATGTGTGACTGACGCAGGGAAACGCAGACCTCAGATATGTTATAAACAATATAATTTATTAACACTAACAATACAAACATAAACGCAGTGCAATACTAAAACATAATACAGTGCAAACAAACCAAACCAAACCACCCACAGATAACAGTACATACAAGCAAGCGTCGTCAGGCAGGCCGGGGTCAATATCGATAGGGCAGGTAGGTACAGGGGGAGCAAAGCGGAGATTGGTCAGGGTCACAAGCCAGGGATCAGAACAGGTAGCAAGCAGCGTGGTACAGAGGATCAGACAGAGGGATGGTCAGGAGCGAGCCGGGATCAGAGCAGGAGAAGTCAGCAGCGGTTCAGAAACAGGATGCAGGACAGAAACAGGATGCAGGACAGAAACAGGATGCAGGGCCCAGGACAAACACACACCAAGGCAGAGTCTGTGGGTCTGGCCATCCCTTAAATACCCCAGCATAATCAGTTACAGGTGTTAGCTGGCTGCAAAGTTGAGTCTCTGATTGCTGGGAACACCCGCTGGCCAGCCCTGGTACTGCAGATCAAAAGGCAGGTGAGTCCCACCATAGCTGGCCAGTCCATTCCTGACAGTACCCCCCCCTCAAGGAGCGGCCTCAGGACGCTCCAAACAGTCCTAGCTGGAAAAAAATGTTCCACCGCCCGGGTCTGGTAACTGGCGGGATATCAAAGACTGGCACACCGGGCAGGACTCCGGGCAGCGGTACACCGGGCAGAGGCACATCGGGCTGGACTCCGGGCAGAGGCACATCGGGCTGGACTCCGGGCAGAGGCACATCGGGCTGGACTCCGGGCAGAGGCACATCGGGCTGGACTCCGGGCAGAGGCACACCGGGCAGAGGCACACCGGGCAGAGGCACACCGGGCAGAGGCACACCGGGCTGGACTCCGGGCAGAGGCACATCGGGCAGAGGCACATCGTGCCGGACTCCGGGCAGAGGCACATCGGGCCGGACTCCGGGCAGAGGCACATCGGGCAGGACTCCGGGCAGAGGCACATCGGGCAGGACCCCGGGCAGAGGCACATCGGGCAGGACCCCGGGCAGAGGCACATCGGGCTACCAGGCGAAGCAGCAGGCAGCGGGCCACCAGGCGGTGCGACAGGCACCGGGACCCCCCCGGGCGGTGCGACAGGCACCGGGCCCCCGGGCGGGGCGACAGGCACCGGGCCCCCGGGCGGGGCGACAGGCACCGGGCCCCGGGCGGAGCGGCGGGCGCCGGACCCCAGGCGGAACTACAGGTCTCGGGCCCTCAGGCGGAGCGGCGGGCGCCGGACCCCCAGGCGGGGCGACAGGCCTCGGGCCCCCAGGCGGAGCGGCGGGCGCCGGACCCCCAGGCGGAACTACAGGTCTCGGGCCCTCAGGCGGAGCGACAGGCATTGGACCCCCAGGCGGGGCGACAGGCCTCGGACCCTCAGGCGGGGGCGACAGGCCTCGGACCCCCAGGCGGGGCGACAGGCCTCGCAACCCCAGGCGGGGCGACAGGCCTCGGACCCCCAGGCGGGGCGGCGGGCGCCGGACCCCCAGAAGGAGCGACAGGTCTCGGGCCCTCAGGCGGAGCGGCGGGCGCCGGACCCCCAGAAGGAGCGACAGGTCTCGGGCCCTCAGGCGGGAGCGACAGGCATCGGACCCCCAGGTGGAGCGACAGGCATCGGACCCCCAGGCGGGGCGACAGGCATCGGGCCCCCAGGCGGGGCGACAGGCATCGGGCCCCCAGGCGGGGCGACAGGCATCGGGCCCCCAGGCGGGGCGGCGGGGGGCGCCGGACCCCCATGCGGAGCGGCGGGCGCCGGACCCCCAGGCGGAGCTACAGGTCTCGGGCCCTCAGGCGGAGCGGCGGGCGCCGGACCCCCAGATGGAGCGACAGGTCTCGGGCCCTCAGGCGGGGAGCAACAGGTCTCGGGCCCCCAGACGAAGCGGCGGGCACCGAGTCACCAGGCACGACAGTGGGCACCGAGTCGTCTGGCAAGACTGCAGGCACCGAGTCAACTGGCGGAACAGCGGGCATCGAGTCAACTGGCGGAACAGCGGGCACCGAGTCGTCTGGCAAGACTGCGGGCACCGAGTCGTCTGGCAAGACTGCGGGCACCGAGTCGTCTGGCAAGACTGCGGGCACCGAGTCGACTGGCGGAACAGCGGGCACCGAGTCGACTGGCGGAACAGCGGGCACCGAGTCGTCTGGCAAGACTGCGGGCACCGAGTCAACTGGCGGAACAGCGGGCACCGAGTCGTCTGGCGGGACTGCGGGCACCGAGTCGTCTGGCAAGACTGCGGGCACCGAGTCGTCTGGCAAGACTGCTGCGGGCACCGAGTCAACTGGCGGAACAGCGGGCATCGAGTCAACTGGCGGAACAGCAGGCACCGAGTCATCTGGCAAGACTGCGGGCACCGAGTCAACTGGCGGAACAGCAGGCACCGAGTCGTCTGGCAAGACTGCGGGCACCGAGTCGTCTGGCAAGACTACGGGCACCGAGTCGTCTGGCAAGACTGCGGGCACCGAGTCGTCTGGCAAGACTGCGGGCACCGAGTCGTCTGGCAAGACTGCGGGCACCGAGTCGTCTGGCAAGACTGCGGGCATTGAGTCAACTGGCAAGACTGCGGGCATCGAGTCGTCTGGCAAGACTGCGGGCACCGAGTCGTCTGGCAAGACTGCGGGCACCGAGTCGTCTGGCAAGACTGCGGGCACCGAGTCGTCTGGCAAGACTGCGGGCACCGAGTCGACTGGCGGAACAGCGGGCACCGAGTCGACTGGCGGAACAGCGGGCACCGAGTCGTCTGGCAAGACTGCGGGCACCGAGTCAACTGGCGGAACAGCGGGCACCGAGTCGTCTGGCGGGACTGCGGGCACCGAGTCGTCTGGCAAGACTGCGGGCACCGAGTCGTCTGGCAAGACTGCGGGCACCGAGTCGTCTGGCAAGACTACGGGCACCGAGTCGTCTGGCAAGACTGCGGGCACCGAGTCGTCTGGCAAGACTGCGGGCACCGAGTCGTCTGGCAAGACTGCGGGGCACCGAGTCGTCTGGCAAGACTGCGGGCATTGAGTCAACTGGCAAGACTGCGGGCATCGAGTCGTCTGGCAAGACTGCGGGCATCGAGTCAACTGGCAAGACTGCGGGCATCGAGTCAACTGGCAAGACTGCGGGCATCGAGTCAACTGGCAAGACTGCGGGCATCGAGTCAACTGGCGGAACAGCGGGCACCGAGTCGTCTGGCAAGACTGTGGGCACCGAGTCGTCTGGCAAGGCTGCGGGCACCGAGTCGTCTGGCAAGGCTGCGGGCACCGAGTCGTCTGGCAAGACTGCGGGCACCGAGTCGACTGGCGGAACAGCGGGCACCGAGTCATCTGGCAAGACAGTGGGCTCCGAGTCAACAGGCACGACAGTGGGCACCGGGTCATCAGGTATCGGATTGTCTGGCTCGACAGCGGGCATCGGGTCACCAGGTATGACAGCGGGCACTGGGTCACCAGGCATCAGGTCATTTGGCTTGCCAGCGGGCACCGCGTCATCTGGCAAGGCAGTGGGCACCGGGTCACCAGGTATGACAGCGGGCTCTGAGTCAATTGGCACGACAGCGGGCACTGGATCAGGTACCGGATCATCTGGATCAACAGCGGGCATCGAGTCAACTGGCCTAATAGGATCGTCGGGCTGGATCAGTTCATCATGCTGAGAGTAGCGGCATCAGGCTGAATACAGGCTTCAGGCTGAGGAGAGGCTTCAGGCTGAGGAGAGGCATCAGGCTGAGGAGAGGCATCAGGCTGAGGAGAGGCATCAGGCTGAGGAGAGGCATCAGGCTGAGGAGAGGCATCAGGCTGAGGAGAGGCTTCAGGCTGAGGAGAGGCATCAGGCTGAGGAGAGGCTTCAGGCTGAGGAGAGGCATCAGGCTGAGGAGAGGCTTCAGGCTGAGGAGAGGCATCAGGCTGAGGAGAGGCATCAGGCTGAGGAGAGGCATCAGGCTGAGGAGAGGCATCAGGCTGAGGAGAGGCATCAGGCTGAGGAGAGGCATCCGGCTGAAGAGAGGCATCCGGCTGAGTAGAGGCTTCAGGCTGAGTCACGGAAGGCAGGTTCACCGGTTTGGATACTGGCAGGATGGTATTGGTTGGAAAGAATTTTCACTTTTTTCTGGTTTTAACTACTGGAGCACTGCAAGTAAACGCAGGTCTGCAAACGAATGGAGCAGCTGGAGACAGAGAAAAACTGGAGGATGGAACAGGAGAGGGAGCAGTTGCTACAGAGGGCTTTTTTACAGGGTTAAAGGCAGGATAGGTGCAGCGAGTGGGAACAGGGTACTGACATGCGGTAGATAGCCAAGTATACTGGGCTGTAACTGGAGGAGCTGTTGGGAATACAGGAGTAGAGTTAGAAGCAGGACTGGGTTTTTGTAAGCTGACTGAGGCTGGGTGCAACAAGTCTGTCCATGTCTGCAGTATGGGTTGAACAAAGCTGAGCTTACACAAAGCCTGTCTGGTCAATGACTGCACTGCGTTTTTACAATCTCTTAGTGTCTGTGGTGAACATGTGGAATAACGCTCCAGAAAGTAGCCCCACATCATCCTCTAATAACCACACCAGGGACTCTACCTGGTCTGCACTAAATGGTGGCAAAAATTCATCCCTGCCTTCGGGGGAACCAGATGAAACCAACTCAACACAAACCTGAATCAATGGCTGCACCTCAGAGAACTCTGTGCCCTGATCTACTAGAACATGAGCGAGCCGTATACATTCTAGCAGTTCATCCCGGGGATACTCCTTCAGAGTCTGATAAGCATACTCCCTGTTATGAAACACTAGCAGAGATAAATACTCAACCTCATCCAGATCCATCCTTCCCATCAACAAGCCAAGATGGCTTCCCTGTGCAGCCACTTCTGGTCAGGATTGGCCTTGGTGTAATGTCAGGGCTCCCAGGGTATGACCAGAGATGTGTGACTGACGCAGGGAAACGCAGACTTCAGATATGTGATAAACAATATAATTTATTAACACTAACAATACAAACAAACGCAGTGCAATACTAAAACATAATACAGTGCAAACAAACCAAACCACCCACAGATAACAGTACATACAAGCAAGCGTCGTCAGGCAGGCCGGGTCAATATCGATAGGGCAGGTAGGTACAGGGGGAGCAAGCGGAGATTGGTCAGGGTCACAAGCCAGGGATCAGAACAGGTAGCAAGCAGCGTGGTACAGAGGGTCAGACAGAGGGATGTCAGGAGCGAGCCGGGATCAGAGCAGGAGAAGTCAGCAGCGGTTCAGAAACAGGATGCAGGACAGAAACAGGATGCAGGGCCCAGGACAAACACACACCAAGGCAGAGTCTGTGGGTCTGGCCATCCCTTAAATACCCCAGCATAATCAGTTACAGGTGTTAGCTGGCTGCAAAGTTGAGTCTCTGATTGCTGGGAACACCCGCTGGCCAGCCCTGGTACTGCAGATCAAAAGGCAGGTGAGTCCCACCATAGCTGGCCAGTCCATTCCTGACAAATTGGTTCTTTTCTGGCTAGGCCCTCACTGTTTCTTCCATATTCCCTAAGTCAATGTAAGCTCTTACGAGACAGGCTTAGGAAAGTCATTATCTTCTTACACTGTGGCATGGACAGATTACTGTGTGCCCTTCAGCTAGTTCCTGATTTATCTCTGACCTGACCTGCTACTTCTGCCTTCCCATGTATGTCCCAGCTTGACTTTGACCTGTCTCTAGATGCCTGTCTGTTCATTATGACCTCAGCCTGTGTTTTGGATTCTGCATTCTGCCTTCTGATTTGGTACCTTGCTCTCCAATTGATGCTCCTTGACTTGTATCTTGACACTGTTTCTGCCTTAGGTTCCTGTATGTTGCTTCCTGACTTTGACTTGTATCTTCACATTGTTCCTGCCATCTGATTTGGTACCTTGCTCTCCAATTGATGCTCCTTGCCTTGTATCTTGACACTGTTTCTGCCTTAGGTTCCTGTACTTTGCTTCCTGACTTTGACTTGTATCTTCACATTGTTCCTGCCTTCTGATTTGGTACCTTGCTGCCCGGCTGTTGACAACCTTCAACTTGTGCCCGGCTTTGTTCCTGTCTGCTGACAAGATGCTACCGTGTTCCTGAATGTGGTTCTTTCCCGGTGATCCACAGTCGTCTGTCTCTCACACTCAGCAACTAGCACTGCATGCAACATTGTCTCTCATGCCACAAATATTGCATTTAGATGGCAGTACTGCCACCAAACATGACCCATTCAAGTAAATGTGTAAGCACCACACACATTCAATGCACACAGATGTGGTGTGATGGTGTGGCATTTACAGGGTTAAAACAGATGTGAGGAAGCGTCATATCGCCTCTAGCTTGCAGAACAGAATATAACTGAAAAAACAAACTATGTACTGTCACCATGAGAACTGCTGGAGTTTTGTGAGTCACACAAAAAAAGTTCCTGTGTACCTTCACATTTGTATCGATTACCATTGTAAAGTTATTAGAGTGTACAGCACAAGATGGGAATTTAGAAATAAACTGAGTTTATCCCCATGACAAACCAATAAGACAGATCACATCTTAAATTCACTGTAATTACTTGAGAATTTTTTCAGTTTTAGCAAGGGCGATAAAATGACTGATCACAATAACCAGGCAATGTAAAATTTCTGTGAATGCCCAAACAGCGGATTGTGTGATTCAGCTACAGAGAATAGATAAGCAAAATAAGACTGTTGATTCAATATACTGCAACATTCTTAGTCATACAGCAAGGTAGCTGGGTTTTTTTTTTGAACAGTGAAAAGATAATGGTATTTTCCCCGAGTGTTACAATAAATAAAATATGTGGACAAGCAAGATGCAAGTTTCACCTCTTAAAGAGATACAAAACTCTGGAAGCTGTGTCCAGAAAAAGGCAGGCAGAGGGCAAAGTGCTAATCACCAGTATTGCCTGTTCTCTTCCTGCAGCTGATCTATTCCTCATTACTGATTTACTATGCCTTTTTCTGCACTGTCTCTCTCTATGGAGGTGGCCATCTTGGTAGAGGCAGGGCTTTGGTTTCTCATGTCGGATCCTCCAGCCAGGAGACCAATCAGCAACACAGTTGTGACATCACCACAACTCACTCCAAATCTTGTGAGACTAGCAGTTAGAGGCAGCAGTGCCTTAGATCTCACACTGCAGATTTACAGCTATCAGTTTATAGATACAGGACTGCCTACTGGGAAGTGCACTGCTATTTTTCTTGAAGAACCAGATTGCCCTGCTCCTTAGAGCTTGCAATTTAAAAGAAACTCTTATGCCCCTTTCATATGGTGGATACAATCATGTTTGCCTCTCAGTTTTTCAGGCGGGCCTGGTTGGATGGTCCATTCACCCCTATAGACAGGAGGGTGTAAATGGCAATATAAGTATCGTTTATTAGTTAGAGGTGGGATAGGCCTCCCTGTAGAGATGGGTTTTTAGGGATTGTCTTTCTAAAGGCAAACAAAGTAGGAGATTGTTAGACAGATTAAGGTAGGGCGTTCCAGACAATGAGAGAGGCTCTGAAGGAGTTTTGAGGCAAGCATGGAAGGAAGTGATAAGGGAGCTAGAGAGCAGGAGATCTTAAGATAAACATACAGAGTGGTTTGGTTGGCATTTTGAGACAAGGTTGGTGAGGTAGCTAGGGGCAGAGTTATTGATGGCTTTGTATGTTGTTGTTAATATTTTGATTTTTATTCTTTGGGTGAGTCAAAGCCAACAGAGAGATTGGCAGGGAGGGGTAGCAGATATCGAATGGTTGTGCTTGACTGCAGCATTCATGGTGGACTGAAGGGGTTCATTTCAGTTTCACGTTAAAGTCCATCCCCATTTGCATGGGTGCAAGCAATTTGAATGGGATCTGGCTTCTTAGATCTAATTGGAACACAGATAAGTGAGATATTCTCATATTAATTCACACAGTATGTGCATTAAAAAGCCATGCAATGAAATCACACACAATGACTATTATCACAGGGTTTATGTCGATGGATATTTTTGTGTTTTCTATTGGAACCCATGCAGCTGCTTTTACATGTAAAGCAAAGCACTTGACGGGAAAAGGCTGCACTTGGCTAGCTTTGCCTGCAGTTGAAATTCACCTCAAAAGGACATACTGTGCCCTAAGAAACACAGCGCCAATGCAAAGCAGGTCAAACACAGCCTCTGAACTTTCATGTGTACTATCTAATAAAGTCAACAGATTTGCCGACCAGAAAAAGAACACCTGTGAACATTAACCCCATTCACATGGTGACACTGTTGTGCACGTTGGTGCGATGTGGTGGCATTCATTCTGAAAGACAACCCAACACACCTTCTAAATGTGAACCCAGCCTACAGGTGGCCACAACTCATTCAATTATCCCATTGCCATTGATGTGTAGCTGTTTCAGTTTAAATACATTTTTATTCAAAGGTCTGTAAACATACTTGACAACAAGCACAATTTCAATCAAGGAAAGTATTTGCACTAATCTCGATATTATACTTTAGTTATTTGTAATTAGATATGCTGTGTCTGTATTTATTGTTTACATTACTCTCCAGTAAAGAACCTCCTATATTCATTTAATTATGTTTTAAGAACAATTTTATTACAAGAAAAATTTTATTACAAGAAAAATTTTATTCA